GCTGCGCACCAGCAAATATCCCCCTTAGGTTTCCGTTTCTCAGAAAGCAAACAATTACACAATGCCAAAGGGCATGATTGGCTCCCCTTCAAAAACCTCACCTTCAAAACCATACTCTGATTGGCCACTTCCCATAGCAAATCGGTGAGCTTAGAATCCCTCAGATTTGCATATCCGGCACCTCATGATTGGTCCACAAAAGCAACCAATCATAACCCACCTTTTATAATCCTTCATTCAACCAATCACTGCCCACCAGCATGTATATAACCACGATCCCTGGCCCACAGTCCCCAGACGACCCTGAAGAGTTGTAATACCATGTCATCTCCAGAGTCTCTAGAAGACTTTGAAGAGCTGTGACACTGTGTCGTCTCCGTGCTGCCCACAATAAACGGAGGACCCTGAAGAGTTGTAACACTGTGTCGTCTCCGTGTTGTAACACTGCGTTGTCCCGTCTCTCACTCCTTCCCTCAGGAAACCTGTTTGACTGTCCCCCGGATCAGATCGGGACACCTGGCAATTTTTTCTCCCCAAATGTGCAGCCGAGACTAAGAGGCCCCGTATTAGAGATAAGAGATAGGAGCAATCTTCCATGCAGAAGGAATTGCAGGGGGAGTGCAGTGGGCAGATCCCCCAGTGCTGCTCACCTGTGGGAGACGGGCAGAGAACTTGGACTTAGCTGAACTTGTAACCAGTCTGGGCACCCAGGCCTAGAAGGCCACAGCCATCCTCAGAATGGGCTACTCACAACAGAAATGATGGCTCACAAAGTCTCACAGGATTGGGCAGGGTGACAGACTGTAAGCCGTAGAGGGATGGAGTTCATTCCCCAGTTTCCAGGCCCGAGTCAGGTTTTTGCCCTGATGTAACTTTGCTGGAGTATCCGAGTGCCCTGGGAAAGAGGGCAAAAGAAAGTGAGGGGCATCTCTCGTGCCGCACGAGGGTGGTCATGCCAAAATCCCTCCTCTGTTTCTCCTTTCTGGATTTTGGACACGCACGCACATGTGCCCAGCTTGTGTCTCAAGCCTCTGGGTCTGGGACTTGAACTGCACAGTGGACCGTTTGGGAAGTAGATGCCTTAATCACATCACCAGCTGGCCCAAGAATTACTTGTTAAGGCTAGAACTCCTTCAATGACCATACCCTGAAGGAGAGAATCTTACAAAACTCCCCGAGTATAAGAATATGATATATAGCGAGGAAGTAGCACTAGATATGTGATAATGAGGTATATTATATGTGCGATATACAAAGGAAGTTGCATTTCTTTCATGCCTCTTTTGAAGAGCTCTTGTTTTAGCTTGGACTGTCTTTTTATTTTGTTTTGTTTTGGATAGATTTTTGCAATAGGGGGCATGCACTCACCAGAGAGGCAAAAAGTGAGAAATCCCTCCCCCCAGGGGTGGCCACACTATAATCCCTTCTCCTCCACTCTCGTCTCTGGATTTTGGGCACATATGCACACACACACAACAGGAGTTTCAAGCCACCGGGACTAGGACCCAAACCACCATCAGCCGTGCAGGGACCCAGCAACACACTACTACGCCATCCGCTGGGCGCAGCTGGGACTGTTTTAATAAAATACCGTCGACTGTGGGCTTAAACAAGAGGACTCCCTCGTCTTTTCTTTTTTTCTTCTTCAGATTTTTGCCATGGGTTGAGTGCACTCACGAGAAGGAGACAGAGACAGGGAAAGCGAAAAGTCACCCCGCTGGAGGGTGGCCACACCATACTCCCTTCTCTTCTAGCCTCCTCTCAGGATTCTGGGCATGCACATGTGCATACACGTACACACATGCCGGGTCTAGGACTCAATCCGTGGTCAGTCAGGTGAGACCAAGTGCCTTAACTGCTATACCACCTGCTGGCCCCTCTCTGTCTCTTCTTATAAGGCCACTAATCCTGTCAGGAGGGTCTCATTCTCATGACCTAATCTAACCCTAATTACTCCTCGAAAGTCTCATCTTTAAATATCCACTGAGCACAGGAATTCTGGGGAATGACACGAATACTCAGCCCATACCTTGTGCCCTTGGCTCCCCAAACCTATGTCCTTCTCAGGTGCAAAATATGTTTATCCCACACTAACCTCCCCAACGTCTTAACCAGCCCAGCACCAGGTGTAAAGAGTACAGTCCAAGTCTCCCTGGACCAGACAGGGAGCGACTAGAGGCACCATTTGTCCCCAGGGCAATGTCTCGTTGGTGGCCAGCTTGTGAAGTCAGCCAGCCAGTGAGGGCGAAGGCACGGGTTAGCCCTTCCGGTTACCAACCAGGAGAAATGTGAGAGGAGAAACGGGTCCCACACCAGTCAGAAACCTAGCAAGTCAAGTCCAGAAGACTTCCCGTCTCCAGAATAACCTCCTTGACCTGACGGGGTGATGCACCTTCTGGCGCACACTGGGAAGGGTCTGCTTTCACAGCTCTGCAGGCAGGGACAGCCTCGGGCTCTGAGCAGCCCTGCCGAAGGCTTCTGGCCTGAGAAACCAAGGCCCAAGGTGGGTCTTTGAATTGCCATCAGAATCATTGCATCATTGGGTCATTTCCCCCTCAATTTGAAGAAGACCTGCGTGTTTTTTGGTTTGTTTGATCTCTTTGTTTTAATTGCCAGAGGGAGGAGGCTGTGTGCATTTGAGGGGAGGGAAGAGAAAGAGTGAAAAAGCATCCCTAATGGGGCATGGTCACCTGCAATCCTCCTGCCTCCATTTCTCCATCATGTCAGGATTTGGGGCATGCACACACATGAGCTCAGTGTGTTTTTCAAGTCACCAGGGCCAGGATTCAAACCATGGTCAGCCACACGGGATCTAGGTCCCTTAACCACTAGGCTATAGGGCCGGCACACCACACATCTTTTTTTAAATGAGAGAGAGAGAAGTGGGGGTAGGGGGAGTGATATATACACATGGACAAGTTATATGTATATGTGTGTGTGTGTGTGTGTGTGTGTGTGTGTGTAGAGAGAGGAAGAGAGAGAGAGACAGGGTTTTTTTTCACACATATGGACAGATTTTACACACACACACACACACACACACACACACACTCAAATACAGGTTCCAAGCACTTCATAATTCTCCTGTCCCAATCTCCCAGTTAAAATCAGGAGCCTTCACATGAAAATCTAGTTCATTTCTGCCAAATACGGGAAGAGTTGGCAGCCCTGGGTCCTCTCTTCCCCATGGCTAGAGTCAGCTGGGGCCTGAGCTTGTCTACTTGCCCTGCCACCTCTCCACCACCCAGGGGAAAGGCACAGCGTAGCATGTGACTATGTCCTCTCCCTCCAAACACATGGGGACTTTGCCTTTATGTGGTTGCCGAAACCAAAACAAACACTCCTAACCTGCCTGTCATTCCTCTTCCCACAGCGAGGCCGCACGGCTGGGATACTGGACTCGCCGAGCACTGGCGTCAGCCTGCAGGGGACTCCCCAGCCCACCTTCCTTTTGCCATTTGTTCAGTAGTTCATATTAAAATAAACATAATTTTTGAAATAAAAATCTTTGTTTTTAGAACAACTTTAGAAAATTCGACAAGATCGTTCAGACACTTTCCATGTACACTCTGCACCCAATCCCCAGCATTAACTCCTTATGCTGGTGTGGTATGTCCATTCTGCTGAGGCAACCACGATTGATACATGAGCATTCATGAAAATCCATACTGTGTTTAGGTTTCCTTCATTTTCATTTTATTTTTTTATTGCTAGAGGGTGCATGCGCTCACCAGAGAGAGAGAGAGAGAGAGAGAGAATGGAGAGAGAGTGAGAATGGAGAGAGAGTGGAGAGAGAGTGGTTGGCAACTCCCAGTGGGTCGTGGTCCCAGCAGGACCCCTTCCCCATTCCTCCGTCCTATCAGGAGTTGGGACACAGAACACTCAGGTCCAGGCCACGATTCTGACAGGGTCAGCTCCACAGGCCCTGGACCCCTTTACCGCTAGACCGCGGCCGGCTCCTTGCTTCGTGTCAGTATCCTGTCTCCGTGGGCCCCCACCTGGCCGTGGTGGTTTCTCTGGTTTTGCTTGGAACATAACAATTTTCTTTCTTTCCTTCTTTTTAAGTGTATTTATCTCTTCCTCGAGCAAAGAGAGATAGCACTCCTGAGGGGTCTTGACATCAAGACCCACCCCAGCTCTCGCTGCCCCAATTGTGGGCAAGGGTTTACCAAGCGTACTCAGGGTGGCCCCCTGGAGTAAAAGTGGAACCTGCCCACATGGCCAGCCTGATGGAGCTTTGCTTTCACTGCTGCGCCCGTTCATGCAGGGACAGCCAGACAGTGTTAAGGGGGCTCTCCAGCCAGGCGGCTTGAAGCATAACACTTTAAAGGAATTAGGTGCTTTTCTCATGGTTAGGTTGGGGGGTATGGATTTTTAAAAAAGTGTTGTCAGAGGGTGCATGGGCTCACTAGAGAGAGAAAGAGAGATGGGACCAGCAGTTGGTGTAATGGCTCTGTCACTGGACTCTCACGTAGTCGACTGCGGTTCAAGTCCTGGACCAGGCGATTTAAACTCATGCAGGGTGCATGTGTGTGCGTGCCCAAGATCCCTAGAGGAGAATGGAGAAGGGGTTGCAGTGTGGCCATCTCCCCTGGGGGGTGATTTCTCACTTTCTGTCTCTCTGTTTCTCTCTTTCTGGCGAGCTCACGCGCCTTATAGCAAAAACCTCTCAAAAAAAAAAAAAAAAGGAGAGAAAGTGAGAAAGTTCCACCTTTGGGGAGTGGTCATGCTGCAATTCCTCCTCCGTCTCTCCTTTCAGGATTTCTGGCATGCACGCACACATGGATGCAGGGGCTCAGGACTCAAACCGCGTGGTAGGTCACGGATCCAGTCACTTGAACCACCGTGCCACTGCCGGCCTGGGTTTTAGGTGTAGGACCGCGGAGGTAAAGTCTCATTTCCATCCATCACGTGAAGGTGCTCTCCACCACCCGGGCTTAGTGCCTGGGTCACGGTCACCCGGCTGGGAGTGGCTTCCCTCCCTCCTCCACAGTGCTCTTTGGGAGAGTCACCCTGTACCACCAGTGTGCCAGGAACGTGAAAGTGAGGTGCGCTCCCCTCCTGGGAGCAGAGTGTCCACAGAGATTCTCTGGAATTCTTCTGCATGGGAGATTTATCTCTAATCCTCCATTTATGTATCCCAGCGTGGACTCACGGGTATGATTTTATACTTGAAGTTATAACCCGGTACTAATTTATTTTGCTTCTCAAACTGTTCAGCTGTGGTCATCGGGAACTCTTTTCCAGTTGATTCTGTCTCCCTTTGACTATCCCAACATGGCCTTTTTATTTTTTAAGCATTTCCTTATTTTCTCGCGCTAAAAGAAACCCCTGGCTCATTTTCTCTATTTCCTGCCCCAGTCAGCCCTTTCTCCTAGGGGCCGTCGTTCCTCTACAAACTAGGAATAATTTTTATATTATGCTACACTTACAAAATTAAAAAGTCCCAGGGCCAAGCACCCGGCCCGTGCGCGACCTTGGAACCCCTTTTGTAGCTGTCCGCTGGGAGTCGGCGTTGGAGGCCGTCCTTCGGGCTGTTCGCAGCCCAGCCCAGGGAGCACTGATGAGATAATGATTGGTAGCATGCCAAGTGCCTGGAGGGTGGGGCGAAGGTGCACAGGGCAAGGAGACGCTGGCCTTTGGGAGGGCCTGAGGCATGGGGCTGACAAGCTATGCCAAGAGCAGGAAGCCCTCCTGGAGGGCAGACACCAGGGTGGCCTCTTTGTGTGTGGCCCTGGTATTCTTGGGACCCGCAGCCCCCAGCCTGCTTGATGAACTGTCAGGTCTCTGTCCATAACTGCCATGCGCCCTGCGATCTGGGAAGCCCCAGAGTAGTTCCCAGCCCTCCTAGTCCCACGTGAGAGAACCCTGCAGGGTTTTTGAGTCCTAAAGCCTTTTTGTGACTGCCAGGGTCTGGGATCTTGGACCACAGTTGCCAACCACAGGCCCAGTCAAAAGCATATCGCAGGGTTATCTTAGGAGTGAAGTCAAAGTCGTCCTAGGCTTCAAGGTAGTCGATTTGAAACTCAACGGTGGGGAGGGAGCTGAAAACAGCAAAATAAAGGCCCCCCCCCATACCCAAGGAAAACAAGGGTAACCCCATGCCTAGCTGCTGAAAGGCCCAGCAAGTAGCTGGGAGGTGATGACCCCCCTCCCCCCCCACTAGTGATGGGGGGGGGCAGCGGATTGTGAAGGGTAGAGGAGGGGGAGGGCAGAGGAGGGAGGGCGGGGAAGGGCAGAGGAGACATTTACAGCTAGCACAAACTCAGAAGCAGGACAGTGCAGGTCCTAGCCACGAATAGCAACTAGGCCACTTTGACCAAAGGGGAGAATAGGCAGGAAAGTGGGTTTGGGGAAGGTTCTGAGCAAATTTAAACTCATCGAGTTCATGGGGTGGAGCCTGGAAAAGGGTGCGAAATCCAGGCTATGCTCAGGGCACAGAGCTGAGGGCCGCCTTTCTCAAAGGAGGCTACTGCGTGGGCTCGGCAGGGACAGGAGACCTGCTGGTCTTCCGGGAGCATGAGACAGACCCGAGGTCGCGTGGCCCTTAAGTCACTTGTGACTCTTAAAATCCTGGCGAAGACCGAGAGGGACCGCTGTAGTTCTGCTCATTTTGCCAAACCTGGAGCCTTGCTTATTTTCTTTCAAAACCTAGGCTTCCGGGACACTTGGTGCTTAGAAAGGGGGTGCACAGCCTGAGGCTGGGTGCGGGATACCCCGCAGGCAAAGTGCTTCCTTTCTAATAACATATCTCGGGTATTGGGGCCGCCCAGAATAAAGGGAACCAAGAAACCGTCGGAGGTAAGGCCAGGTCTGGGAAGCTGAGGTGCAGACCTAGTTAGAACTGCGGTTCCAACTTCAAATGGAGTGCGTTGGGAGGCTCGCCGAGGGGCAGTGCCGAGTTCTCAGCTGGACTGAGGAAACCGTGCAGAGGGCAGCGGGGGACGGGGCCAGCGCAGCGAGGACGCGCAGGGGCACTGCCGCTGGCTGGGAGCCGCGTGGCAGGTGGCAGCCCCGCGCCGCCTGGCTGTGCTCCGACGGCTGGTTCGCGCCCACGCTTCCTTCCTTCTGCACAGGCGGCACCTCCGAGGGGCCCAGCCTGCAGGAGGCACGGAGCCGCAGCCATGAGCCTCAGGGCTGGCGCAGCGCCCGTCGCAGCTAAGCCCGGGTGGACTCGAAAGCCTCCGATAAGGAGATCAAAGCCCAGCTGTGGGGACGGGCGGGCTAATCTCGCCGGCCCCGCGTGCGACTGCGGCTGACCGCAGCGCCCCGCCCAGCACCCACGGCCCTGGGGGAGGCCAGCAGCCCGGCCACCGCCACCGAGCCGGCCAGGAAGTGCCTTCGAGGTCATCGGCATAACACAGGCGGCCTTCTGTCGGGTGGATACCGGGTCTGGCCCCGCACAGGAGTGCCCCGGGAAGAGCCCAGGCCCCCGACTGGGGCGCATTTGTTTGAAATGTTAATGTTTTGAAGCTTCCCTCCCTGGGTCGGTCTCCCGAAAGCCAGCAGAAGCCCCGTGGGATGAATGCACGAGCCGCTTTGGCTGGGCGGAACCGGGTCCACAA